GTACAAATGAGGAAGTTGTCTTGAATGGATTTATGAGATTTCCATCGATGGGAGTTGGTCATAAATGAAGACCCTTCCTCCTATTTGTAGGCCAAGAGGCCTCCTAATGTACATTTTATAACTTTATGGAAAGATGATAAGCCTAGGACATTCAAATACGCTTTCTAACATTTGTACAAGTCTAGGAGCGGCCCCGTTATTTTCACATATTCGAGTTTAGAATTTAAATTTTACTACAGTAAAAAGCTCTCAAAAACAGTCACATTTAACTTTTTTGTTACAGTAAAAAGCTCTCACACAACATTACATTTCAACTCGAATTAAAAATTTAAATTAACGAACCGAACGGGCCCGATCCAGAAACTTCTACAATCTACTAGTATGTCTCGTGTATCTTAAAACTTCTAGAAATTCTAATAGCTTCCTGTATCTTTCAAAGAGTTTTAGAGGCATAGAGAATTCTAGATGCTTTTAGGTCCTAGAGTCTTTCTAGGATACGTTGGAACCTTCTAGAAAGCTCATGCTTCTTTGAGAAGGATGGGGCTCGTTTATTTCGCTGATTCGAGTTTAGAATTCGAGTTTTTCTACAGTAAAAAGCTCTAACAAACAATCACATCTAACTTTTTTGCTACAGTAAAAAGCTCTCACATAAAGTCACATCTCAACTCGAATTCTAAACTCGAATCAGCGAAGTGAACGGGCCCATTATTTCTCTAGCTGGGTTGTTCTAGGATATTCTATTTGATTCCAAGCCTGAAAGAAGACTCTAGAGAATCCTAGAGTTCTTAAATGAGCCACTTATATCATACTGCGGTAAAAATGTGCAGCCCGTGATACGTCGCTCTCAATCTGAAGGTGCCACTTTAAATTTTGGTGTTATTGTGTTTAAGTTTTATACTTTATTATTATTATTATTGCATTTATTATTTATCCTTGACTGAGCATTAATTCGTTGAGAGATTCGTAAAATCCTTGTTGACAAATTTTCACAATGAATGTGCAAAATGAGGAATATGTATGTAGGAAAAGTGGTCATATATTTTCGGAAATACATTTTTTTATTTAAAAAAAAATACTCGTTTTACTAATATTACAATTTCTTTATGCTGTATGCCTTTCATCTGAGGGTGACTATTCGTGTTAGTGGGTCGTATTCGTGTCAATCAGTTTATTAATCGTGTCAAAAAAATATCAACCTAAACACGACATGTTTATTAAACATGTCAAAAATATCAATCCAAACACGACTCATTTATTAATCGTGTTAATCGTGTCAACCCGTATAACCCGTTTAAATTAATATATTGAATAAATAACTAATGTAATAATGACTTATTTAACACGGTCAAGACATGTTTAACATGTTTATTGGTCGATTTATCTTTTTTTTAAGAAAAATAAATGGATTTTACCTACAAATATTAAAATCACATTATTTGTATTTAATATGTCATATAAACTTTCATATTATATCACATATAATTAAATTATAGATGACACATATAGTTAATCACGTCAATTCGTGTTAGGATGTCAATCCTAACCTAACCCATTTATTAATCGTATCAACCCAATTATGACCTAAACTCATTTATAATAAACCCAAACTCACTAACTTTATGCGGGTTTTAAGTCGTGTCATCACGTCACTGTTTGAATTGTCAGCCCTACTTTTATCTTTTATGTTTTCACCTTTTCATTTTAAAACGTTAAGTTTTCATTAAATGTAACAATAAGATCTTTGACTTTCATATTTAAAATATGAAAATTTTTATATTTAGATTTTATTTCATCATCTTTCCTAATTTGTTCATATATTATTTTTCCTTCTCCATTATATAAGGATATAAACGCCTTTATTTATATAGTAGTAGATATTTTTATAAATAAATAAATAAGTAAATATTTTTAAACTCGAAGCACTCAAAAGAGATTTTTTGTAAATAACCCCCTAAGATTACTGTACACTACACGACTCTATAAACTTTAGTTTTCTATTTGTTAAAAATTTTAGGATTATTATCACTGGTGTCTCTTGAACTTTAAGGACATTTTCTATTTACTTATTGAACTTTAAAAACTCTAATTTTACCTCATAATTATTGAATTGTTCCCACTTAACTCATTTTGTCATAATTTCTTTTAAAAATAGATAGAAAAAAGAGAGAATAACATAGTCATGTGACATTTTTGTTTAGATTTCTATTAAAAAACTAGATAAAAATCACATGATTACACTTAACTTCATTATTTTCTATTTAATTTTAACAGAAATTACAACTCAAAGTCCATAAACAAAGTGAGTCTTTAAAATTTAAAATGCAAACTAATAATGAGACCAAAATTTAGAGAATACCACTGAGAACAATGCAAGATTTATGTTATAAATTATTTTCTGTCCCATTTTTTTTATCTTTTAAATTTTGAAACATTCTAAATTATTTAAGTATTTTTAATATTTTTTTTTTCTATTCATGTGGTTAGATTCTTAAATTTAAAACTTAACATTTTAAGACCCGTTTGTTATGTTAATTTAAATTATAATTTAAATTTTTATTATAATATATTTTTTATAAAAATTTAAATTTAAACTTTTTAAAATATTTTTCTCATATTAATTAATATTTTAACTCACATTTTTAAATCGAACAAGTTAGATGAACGGGGTTTTAATCTTTACGAGTTCTCTGACAATCGTATATCAAATGCTAAAAATGCATATTCTGACTCCAAACATATCACATCTGGCTATATTACATATATATATCTATATATGTGCATATATGTGTATGTATATGTAGATCATAATAACAAGGGAAAGACAAGCGAAACATTATTTTGACAATAATGAGACCCTAGCTACTAGACTCTACTACTAAAACGACTTTTTGTGTACTTTTTTTCTTTTCAGGTCAAAAAGCTGTCCTGCCTTGAGTGACCATGCATTTGATGACGGAAGGAATGGCCTTCGATCTGTGGACTTGCTCATTCGCACTCTCTTTCTATTATTTTCACAATAATTTATTAATTTCAAAACGAGTTTCTTCGTTATATTTTTAAGTTATGATAATTTAAGTGTAAATTTTAAATTAAATTTAAATTATAATTTAAGTTAAATTTATAATTTGAATTTGTATTTGAATGTATATATTTAAATTATAATTTAAATTGAGAATCTATTTAAATTTATATTTGAGTGAGTTAAAATTTATATTTATATTTACATAATATTTTAATAAAAACTCAATAGTGATGAAAAATTTTAATAGAATATATATGTAGGGTTTTATTCGTCTTTTCGTTATAAACGCATTAGAAAAAAAATCATTCCGATTACAAAAAAGTTATGGCATTTTTCATAATAGAAAAAATATTGTTCATTTACTTGAATTTGAGTTTAAAAACTTAGGAGCTGTTCTTTTGCCATTTTTGAGTTAAGTGACTTGAGTGTAGATTTTGAGTTGAGTTTGAGTTATAACTTGAGTTGAAGTTGTAACTTGAGTTTGTGTTTAGTTGTGTACATTTGAGTTATGGTTTGAGAGTTTGTGTTTGAGTGAGTCAAAACTTAGGCCTCGTTCTTTTCGCTGATTCGAGTTTAGAATTCGAGTTGAGATGTGATTGTATGTGAGAGTTTTTTACTGTAGCAAAAAAGTTAGATGTGATTGTTTGTGAGAGCTTTTTACTGTAGTAAAACTCGAATTCTAAACTTGAATCAGCGAAACGAACGAACTTGTATTTAGATAATATTTTAATAAAAAATCAATGTTGATGGAAAATTTTAATAGGGTATATGGGGGGGTTTTATTCGTCTTTTCGTTGTCAACGCGTCGAAAAAAAAACCATCTCAATCAGAATTAAAACGAAAAAGTTATAACATTTTTAAGAATAGAAAAAAATTGTTCATTAATTTGAGTTCGAGTTTCTGAACTCGAGTTAAAGGGGAAACTTGAATTCGAGTTTTAGTCCTAAACTTGAGTTCAAACTCGAGTTCAAATTTAAAAGAACATGAACTTGAATAAAGTTGTAACTCAAGTTTTTTTTTTTTTTAGTTTTTGACTCGAGTTTTAGGCTGCCGAACAACCCTTAAAATTGAAAGAGAAACTTGAACTCAAATTTTAATCTTAAATTTAAGTTAAAACTAATTTAAACTTAAATTTTATAAATAAATATAAAGGGCTGCCGAACAGCCCTTAAAATTGAAAGAGAAACTTGAACTCAAATTTTAATCCCAAATTTAAGTTAAAACTAATTTAAACTTAAATTTTATAAATAAATATAAACTTAAATAAAATTATAATTTGAGTTTAAATATTTTTAAAAATTTTATTATGAAAGAGCAAGCCTTACATTATTCATCCCCCAAAAACCAAATTATATAAATCTCGTCCCTTTTAAAAAAAAAAAAAAATTAGTATTCCCTTTCATCTCCGTTCTTCAAATCAAAGCCATCGTAACCCTCGCTTTTCCTTCTCTCTCTAGCTCACTTCCATCTACGCATGCCACTTTTTATTTTGAGCTTCATAATTGGCTTTGGTTAATTACGTTACTGAATCTTATCTAATAGGCCGATCTATTAGAGCCTATTTGGTTAGAAGATTCGTTATCTGATTCGAATCATAATTAATAGTTCGTTATAATATTTTCTCTTATAAAAAATACACATAAATAAAAAATAATTCTAATATCACGGTTCTAATTCATAAACCAAACAGGCTTTTAATAAGTCATTTTGTGACGGTTAAATTTAATTAAAATTATATTAAATTAAAAAAATATATAAAATATATAATTTTTAATATGAATTTAACGATTAAAAAATAAAATATTATCGGTAATTTACTTGCCCAAATTCTAGGAAACTCACACTACATAAATATACCATCAATTTAAATTTTTCTTAATTTACTTACCCGCTTTAGAAACTAAAAATAAAAAAATAAAAAAAATCCTCATTTGAGAGTCTGTTTTTGTATTGTTGGAGTTTGCTTTTGTATGAGAGGTTATTAAAATGAAGTAGCGTGAATTGGTGAAAGGGTGTGGAAAGCCTTTGTTTTCAGATAAACCCTTCAATCAATATAAACACACATATAAAACCCGTACGTACCCTCTCTTCTCCTCCCAGTCCCAACAATCAGTTGCATATAATTCTCCTGAAAAGTTATTCTCTCTTTTTTCTTTATTCCTTTTCATTTTCTAGAGAGCTTCTTCTCCGATGGCGAACTGGTTCTGCCTCTCGGCGGTCTATGATTGGTACCTCCGGTGTCGCTTCTCCATGGCGGGCCTAAAGCCGACGACGACGGACCTCGGCGACGGGACCATCATGCACTGCTGGGTCCCACGGAAACGGGCCGATTCGAAGCCGAATCTCCTCCTCATCCACGGCATCGGAGCGAACGCAATGTGGCAGTTCAGCGACTTCGTGTCCCCACTTGTCGGCCACTTCAACCTCTACATCCCCGACCTCGTATTCTACGGCGCGTCGTGGACGACCCGACCCGAGAGGTCCGAGTCGTTCCACGCCCGATGCGTCGCCGTTTTGATGGAGGCGCAGGGGGTGAGGAGGATGCACGTGGTGGGGCTCAGCTACGGCGGCTTTGTCGGGTACTGGTTGGCGGCGCAGTTTAAGGAGAGGGTGGAGAGGGTGGTGCTATGTTGCGCCGGGGTGTGCATGGAGGATAAGGACATGGAGGAGGGGATGTTTCAGGTGCGGAATGTCGACGAGGCCGTTTCGGTGTTGCAACCGCAGACGGTGAGTAAGGCAAGGGACTTGCTGAGGATGACGTTTTACGAGCCTCTCAAGTTCGTTCCGGGGTTTTTCCTCAATGATTTCATTAAGGTTAGTGATCTTCATCTCTTGCTTTGCAATTAAAGTAAACAGTGAGAAAAATAAAAATTAGGGGAAAATTTAACGTCTTAATTAATGGTCGAGTTTGTTTTTGTACCGTTAGAGTTTAGTTTTGACTTTAAGTTAATTAAATTAATTTAAACGCGTGAATCAAACAATCCAAAATGTATCCCCTAGGAGTCTTGTTACAATTCAACTTTTAATTTCACCAACAAGAAACTTATCTCTAACGAAAGAAAAAAGAACACCATAGTTTTGTACTTTAAAAAGTAAACAATATTATTCATTCTTAAGCGGGTTGACCCGATGTTGGACCCAACTCTACTCGCAAAAGGTTACAAGCCAAGCTGACTTTCTGACGTCCGTCCCAGATACGTTTCTAATCCATAGTCCACCCCAATTTGACTCTCAGAACTTCTTTTCAAAAAGAAAAAAAAAAAAAGAAAAAGAAATTGGAGAATCATATAAAACATATGGCCACCCCAGGCGACATACCCGTTGGGTTGTAGGGTCAGGTTGGGCCGCATGTTGGCTGACCGGCCGCCTCTTTAGATTAGCAGAGAAGAGAAGACAAATATTCTTTTAAATTGCAAGGTTATTGACTTTTATTCTTAATTTTTGATTAGTATCATTTTAATTAAATATTATAATAGTTAAAAAAGTATTATTAAAAAATAAATGATAAAAATTTAAACTCATGCATTTTAAAAGATAAATTTAATAAATTTTTTTATAATGTCGAGCCATGTCTTGTCTGTATTTACTGGGTGACCCATATTTAGAGCATTATCATGTCCTTAAAAGTATTGTAAAGCATAGGTTATAAGCCCGAAATACGCGGGTAACAAGCTGTAATGCCATATTGCTATTGTCATCTTAGATTAATAAAGCCCGAAATATGTTAACAATAACGCTTATCTGGTCTTTGTTAGACTATTGGATCGGAAAAGCTCAAACTATTAACCAAAAAACCTTAAAACTATTTTAAGGATGTGACAACATTAGAAAACTTTGAATACCCCTGATACGATGTCAGATTACTAATTAACTAGACAAGGGAATTGAATTGATTGGGGACGAGCAAGAAACTAAGCGATGAAAATTAGAAATTCTTGTTTGTGTTCTCTTTTTTTTTTTTTTTTTTTTTTTTTTTTAAAAGCTAATTGTCCCACCTATTTTCTTTTAGAAATTCACGGTGTGTTACTGGACATAATTGGAGTCGAAAGGGGTCACAGTGGACAAATTTTTAAGTCAAAGAAAGTTGTTTGTTTATGTTACAGGATTCGAAATTGACATCATTACGAATTTCCATCACGCATGATTTACTTAAATCCATTTCCCATAATCAAAGTGAATTCTTATAAATTTTATTTTGAGTAGTTCATTCACACACCCCTCTTTACTCTTCACATTCCCTTTTTAATTACAAAAGGACGATTATAATAGACTTAATTACATAATTAAATTTTATTATACAAATAATGATATTTTATTTTTTTTCCCCTTCACACACTCACTTATCATTTTCTTAAATTACAAACAATTGCTATTTTGAAATGTATGATAGAACTTTAATTTTTACCATTCAATAGCTATTTTAAAAAATTACATATAGGTATGTTAAATTTTCTTTATTATTTTTTCTTTGCTGATTGTTCTTTTTCCTTTTCTTTCCTTCGTTTTGTGTTAATGTTTTTTATTTTTCTAATTATTTCATTTTTAAAAGGACAAATCATTTTGATTTATTTTATTTTTCATTTCTTATAAAGTAGAATTGATTTTTTTTTTCATTTTGTTCTTTTTTATTCTTATTATGCTCGTTTATTTGTTTTTCATTCAATTTTCATATTGTATTTTTAATCATACCTCAATAATATAATAACTTTGTTGCCATATTTTTATTTATTTTTTATTTATTAAATTATATTGCTTTCGATTATATATTTTTGCGTGAAAAATATTCTAATAAATTTTCTTCTTGTACAAAAAAGGCATCATGCTTAAAGGCTAAAGCTTCAACAACAACAAAAAAAAGAGAGCAATATAAAAATGATAAAATTAAAATAAAATAGTAGGTGTGAAAAGAAAAATGAAATGATGAAGAATTAATAATCCTATGAAAGTAGTTTAAGATAATTTTAGAATAATAGAGATGTATAGAAAGTAAATTTAACCATTTTAAAATTATATGGGGCGTGTGTTTAGAAATGGGTGTGGAGAGTAGGAAGGAGTGTGTGAGTAGAACCACCCTTTTATTTATATAATCTTTGGGCTTTGATTAATTTAATTTTGTGATTTGAATTTGAAAATGTAGATTGTATAGTTATTATAATAACGTTTATGATAAATAAGACAGCTATTAGAATACCGAGACAATAAAATAATAAATTCTTGCACTGTAATTAAAAAAGATGATAAAGCAAAAGTGTGAGAAATTGAATAAAATAAATCAAAAAGTAAAAAGAAAGTACCAAAAATTGAAATATATTTTTCCCTAAAAAAATTGAAGTAAATTGTTTAATTGTAATAAAAAAAATGAATTGTATACTTATGGTAATGAAATCAATAATAATTAGGATAATTAGCTTTATATTAGGCAAACTGACAAATAATAAATATAGATTGTAAATTATATATATATATATATTTTATTTTTCATTTCTCCTATCATCCAATATCTTAGAATTAAATTAGAGCTAAGATAGTAATTTAATATTATAAACCAAGAAGTCTTTAATCTGAAAGCAGTGTGGGATTGTCAATCTTTTTTCTCAATCTCAAATTTATGTGATATCGATCTCACATCCATTTCATGACAAAAATGAGTAAGGTCCAGTTCATTTTACCGATTCAAATTTTATTACTGTAAAAAGCTCTAAAAGACAGTTACATTTAATTTTTTTACTACAGTAAAAAGTTTTCACATAAAATTACATCTCAACTTAAATTAAAAACTCAAATTAGCGAATTAAACATGTCCTAAATATATAAAAAATTAATTTCCATTTCACACCTGTAACAAGTAAAAATGACATCAATTAAGCGCTTAAGAGATGGGTCAATGTTTCACATCCTAAAAGTCATAACGGATCATCTGTGGACACTTGAGAGTTGATTCCATAGTTGGTGTCGTGTTGGGTAGTTGGTGGAGATTAATCGAATTAATTGGAGAATAGGAGTGATAGGAAAATGAGTGAGTGGTAGCAGGTAAAAATAATATTCCTACTTTTATGAATAATTTTCGTATTAGGACACTAACTTTTCATTCAAATGGCGATTAGCGATTGCTTAGACTTCCATTTATTTTTGTTATTCGTAATCTTTTTTATTAATATTTTTTAATTCATAATGTGTTCCTAATCCGATTTAAATTTAACAAATTGCATGTCACATCATTAGGTAGGGAATATTTAATGAACAAGCTAGTGGTTCTCTCTCTCTCTCTGTTTTTTTTTTTGGCCCTACTTGTTTGTGTTACGGATGTACTCGGTTTCTTTTACTTTAAGATTCAACTTGGACTTTTGACGCCACCACATAAACCAATTCAAAGATCAACTTGGACATGAAAAATTGTTGCTCTTTTTGGAGAACTAAAGTAAACAAAAAAAGAAAAAAAAATTACCATCTCAGATGTAGAATATAATGAAACTATGTGCAGTATTATTTAAGTGACGTTTAATTCATGAGTTTAAAATTATAATTTGTGATTTTAATTTTTAAAATTTAAATTTTTTACGAGAGAAAAATACAATAACGCATTAAGAATTATAATTTTACACTAAGTAAACGGAACATTAATATTGAGCTATAACCCCATCATACATAAATAAATGAGCCCATCAATAGCACCAATGTGGGTTCGACTGATTGTCTCATCGGGCCATTTAATATTTTTCAAAACTATTAGGTAACAAAAAGTTAATATATATTGAACGGACATCTATGTCACTTCGTGTTAGATTCTGTAAATTGTGTTTTTGACTTTTGTTAATCATAGACTGCAATGTTCTTTTTGGTTTTTCCTTTAGTTCTCCAAAGCCGTTGTGTAAGGTGGAATTATGGACCACAAAATGCTTTTCAATTTATTATCTATGATTGCAAATGACATTTCCGAATTAGTTCAAGAGAGTAGGGCAGAACGCTTTCAGTACATGACTATCCGTATACCACAAAAGTATTGAAATCAGTTCTATTTATCTTTACTAATAATATAGTCGGAGTTCTATTACCAAAGACCTCTTGTGCTAAATTCCTTACTGTTTTACTATTGGCCCGATTAGTTCGTTAATTTTGAGTTGAGATGTGACTGTTTCTGAGAGCTTTTTACTGTAGTAAAAAAGTGAGATATGACTGTTTTTTAGAGTCGTTTACTGTAGCAAAACTCAAATTCTAAATTCAAATAGGTGAAATGAACGGGTTGTTAAGATGCGACTTTATGTGAAAACTTTTTACTGTAGTAAAAAAGTTAAATATGATTGTTTTTGAAAGTTTTTTACTATAGTAAAACTCAAATTAAAGCAACACTAAAAGACTTTACTGTTTCGGCTTTGGTTATTCTTTAAATTAAAAATTATAATTTTACACTAAGTAAATGGAACATTAATATTGAGCTATAACCCCATCATACATAAATAAATGAGCCCATCAATAGCACCAATGTGGGTTCGACTGATTGTCTCATCGGGCCATTTAATATTTTTCAAAACTATTAGGTAACAAAAAGTTAATATATATTGAACGGACATCTATGTCACTTCGTGTTAGATTCTGTAAATTGTGTTTTTGACTTTTGTTAATCATAGACTGCAATGTTCTTTTTGGTTTTTCCTTTAGTTCTCCAAAGCCGTTGTGTAAGGTGGAATTATGGACCACAAAATGCTTTTCAATTTATTATCTATGATTGCAAATGACATTTCCGAATTAGTTCAAGAGAGTAGGGCAGAACGCTTTCAGTACATGACTATCCGTATACCACAAAAGTATTGAAATCAGTTCTATTTATCTTTACTAATAATATAGTCGGAGTTCTATTACCAAAGACCTCTTGTGCTAAATTCCTTACTATTTTACTATTGGCCCGATTAGTTCGTTAATTTTGAGTTGAGATGTGACTGTTTCTGAGAGCTTTTTACTGTAGTAAAAAAGTGAGATATGACTGTTTTTTAGAGTCGTTTACTGTAGCAAAACTCAAATTCTAAATTCAAATAGGTGAAATGAACGGGTTGTTAAGATGCGACTTTATGTGAAAACTTTTTACTGTAGTAAAAAAGTTAAATATGATTATTTTTGAAAGTTTTTTACTATAGTAAAACTCAAATTTTAAACTCAAATCGGTGAAATGAACTCGGTCATATTTTGCCTTTGGTTATTATACTTTCACATTAAAGCAACACTAAAAGACTTTACTGTTTCGGCTTTGGTTATTCTTTACTGTTAAAAGACTCCTGATCCATGCAATTTGGATTTGTTTTTTTTTTTTCTCTTGTTGTTGCTTTTGTTATTGTTATTGTTATTGTTTTTTGGTCTTTTTTATTTTTGTTTTATTTTTGTGTGTTTTTTGTGTTTTTATTTTTATTTTTTTGTGAATGATCCATGAATTTGGTTGCCTCGCAGTTCATGTGCACGGAACACGTTCAAGAGAGGGCGGATATGATCCGTGTATTACACAAGGACAGAAAATTATCTAATCTTCCCAAGATAACCCAGGTAATTTACAATTCGCATTTATCCATCATAAACGGTAAAAACTGTATGTAAGAATGAAAAAGAAAAAAAAAAAGCATTTCAGAAACTTCTTGCGTTACCCTTCTTGCCACTCAAAGAATTATAACTTCGTGAAAATAAACAAATGATGATTTTATGGTACGGTATAAAAAATACCCAACCAGTAGATTACAGTTTTTAATCCTCTTATCTTTATCAACCTCTGAAAATTACCATATTTTTTTTAAGTTGATATAATTTTGCGGTGATCAGACAGCATATAACTATGTATACTTATAATGTTATTTTTCTATACCGTGCCACAAAATTCTCCAGCAAAGAAAGGTTAATGAATTTTGTCTTTGTTAATATCTTCTTTAAGATAATTTTGGTTCTTAATTCAGCCTACTTTAATTCTCTGGGGAGAACATGACCTCATATTCCCAATCGAGTTGGCACACCGATTAAAGAGGTAAATCCTAAAGTCTTGTTTCTCATACTTAGATTCTAGACTTTTTTTTTTAACTACTATGAAAAATATTACGACATTACGGGCCCATTTGTTTCACGCGTTTGAACTGTTATTCTGATTATGATAAAATACTTTTCTTTTATAAAAAATTTGAATAAAAAAAATTTTCACAAATGGTTCTCTTAAATAATTTAAATTTAGAATTAAAATTACTACTTTAAACGCGTGAACTAAATAAATTATACGTGGCATTAATTTAAGCATGCACACGACTCCCTCGGAAAGCTTCTTTTCTTAACTTTCTAATTTGATCATTTCTGCCACGTAATGAATCCATAATGTACTCTGTAAATTAAGGAGTTGTTTGGTTGGGGATTCGTACCCCGATTCGAATCATGATTCATGATTCGTTATAGTGTTTTTTCTCATAAAAAATACACGTAAATTAAAAATGGTTATAATCTCATGATTCTAATCTATAAACTAAACATCTTTTAAAGTTACATTTATGGCTTGAGTAACGCTTTTTTTTTTCTTTTGTTTTTTGTTTGTTTGTCCTTTTCCCCCACCATTTACAGGCACGTGGGTGAGAATGCACAATTAGTAATCATAAAAAATGCAGGGCATGCCATAAACGCAGAGAAGCCAAAAGAGATGTGCAATCACTACAAGTCCTTCCTCCTTAGTCAACTCCCTCCCAAGGCAGAAAATGGTAACAACAACATCATCAACGGCCACAAGGTCTATTGAGAAGGAAAATCGAGTTTCACTCATTTACTGAACTGAAATTTACCACAAAACCAAGTAATTTCAGTTGTGTGTGTGTGTGTCTACGTTTTTGTTTTAAATTTTAGTTTTATATATACATTTTCTTTTTTGAATGCCACTTTTCTATATCCACATTTTTGATAAAGGAATGTGAAATGTGTAGTTATGGAAAAACTTAAAGAAATCCGACTCATCTCTGCTGAAAACTGTTGTTGGATAACGGTTTAGGCAAATGCCAAACAATCCAAGTGTTGAGTTGATTTTAGCAACTGGAACAGAGTTCCCATCAAAAATGACACACCAACACATTTAGAACAAATATACCCCCCAATACTATCATAAACAAAAGATGCCGGTACTAGTCACCGGTAAACTATTAGTATCCTGTCGTGATACTAGGAGATAGTGCGCTATGATATTCAAAATTTCGTCAACCGACGGTTGCTGGTCGGGGACCTTCGGCAACCTACCGTAAATGCTTCGTATACTGCAAACTGCCGGTATCCTATCGTAATACTTGATCATAGTACATTATGGTACTAAAAAGTCTGGCAACCGGTTGTAACCGACCGTGCTACCATTGGTTTTCTCACCTGAGCATTTTTTTTTAAAAAAAAGTCACAAAAACATGACCAAAAGTCAAAACAGTTATTTTTCTCAAGAATACTGCCGATTAGAGCAAAATTTCATCCAACCCTAATTCAACAGTCTTGAACAAGATATTAAGATCAAACAGGCAAATAAGTCTAACGTTAAGCAAGACACAAAGAAAACCTTGAGAATAAAATAAATGAAAATCGGAGTCGGGTAATTGCCTTAAATAAAGCTTTGTATTAGAAATTGTCTCCAATATCCTTCCTCTCAATTCGAGGGGATTTATAATACATTTGGAGTTAAGGAGTTTAACTTTCCCATTTGTTAGAGTTTATTCTCTCCTACTTGGGCTTGGGAAGTCATACCCGAGCATGTGCTCAAGTAAGACTTCGTTGTTTAGAGAAATATAAACAAATTTACTTCGATAGTGTGTTTGGTATGAATGAAAAGTGGAAGTAAAGAAAATGTTGGAGGGATTTTGAGATAAAAATTGGTAAGTTAGTTAGTTTGGTAGAAAGGAAATTGGGAAGGAAAAGAAAATTAAATAAAAATTGTGATTAGTGGGTCCCACCATATTTAATCTCTCTAAAAGTGAGGATTTTAGGAAGGAAAATGTGGATAACTACCTAAATGAAGTCAAATTACTGAATTGTCCTCATTTTTTTATCCAAAATTAACTCCAAAAGTTGGCGCTTTTTTTTTTTTTTTTTTGGGGATAAATAACTTGTTTCATAGTAAGTCATCAAAAGAAAACTTTGATTCATAGGAGAGATGATTTTGGGGTTTTATACTGGGAAATGATAAACCATTTTTCAATTATTGTCTTATCAATTGCAGCTAAAAATTTAAAAGAGAGAAAAGAGAGAAATCAGATTAATGCATATATTATAATAACGAAAAATATGTCAAAATATTTTTCTATTTTTTTTTCAAAAAAATAAATCAGCTACCATTTTTCGTCACAATAATTACAATATTAATCAAGCCATACAAACAATCAAGTGTTGAGTTGATTTTAGCAAGTGAAACAAAGTTCCCGTAAAAAATGACACACCAACACATTTAGAACAAGTATACCCCCTAATATTATCATAAACAAAAGATGCCGGTACTAGTCACCGGTAAACTATTAGTATCCTGTCATGATCATAGGAGATAGTGCGCTATGATATTCAAAATTTCGTCAACCGACGGTTGCTGGCCGGGGACCTTCGGCAACCTACCGTAAATGCTTCGTATACTGCAAATTGCCGGTATCCTATCGTAATACTTGATGATAGTACATTATGGTACTAAAAAGTCTGGCAACCGGTTGTAACCGACCGTGCTACCATTGGTTTTCTCACCTGAGCATTTTTTTTAAAAAAAAAGTCACAAAAACATGACCAAAAGTCAAAACAGTTATTTTTCTCAAGAATACAGCCGATTAGAGCAAAATTTCATCCAACCCTAATTCAACATTCTTGAACAAGATATTAAGATCAAACAGGCAAATAAGTCTAACGTTAAGCAAGACACAAAGAAAACCTTGAGAATAAAATAAATGAAAATCGGAGTCGGGTAATTGCCTTAAATAAAGCTTTGTATTAGAAATTGTCTCCAATATCCTTCCTCTCAATTCGAGGGGATTTATAATACATTTGGAGTTAAGGAGTTTAACTTTCCCATTTGTTAGAGTTTATTCTCTCCTACTTGGGCTTGGGAAGTCATACCCGAGCATGTGCTCAAGTAAGACTTCGTTGTTTAGAGAAATATAAACAAATTTACTTCGATAGTGTGTTTGGTATGAATGAAAAGTGGAAGTAAAGAAAATGTTGGAGGGATTTTGAGATAAAAATTGGTAAGTTAGTTAGTTTGGTAGAAAGGAAATTGGGAAGGAAAAGAAAATTAAATAAAAATTGTGATTAGTGAGTCCCACCATATTTAATCTCTCTAAAAGTGAGAGGATTTTAGGAAGGAAAATGTGGATAACTACCTAAATGAAGTCAAATTACTGAATTGTCCTCATTTTTTTATCCAAAATTAACTCCAAAAGTTGGCGCTTTTTTTTTTTTTTTTTTGGGGATAAATAACTTGTTTCATAGTAAGTCATCAAAAGAAAACTTTGATTCATAGGAGAGATATGACTTTGGGGTTTTATACTGGGAAATGATAAACCATTTTTCAATTATTGTCTTATCAATTGCAGCTAAAAATTTAAAAGAGAGAAAAGAGAGAAATCAGATTAATGCATATATTATAATAACGAAAAATATGTCAAAATATTTTTCTATTTTTTTTTCAAAAAAATAAATCAGCTACCATTTTTCGTCACAATAATTACAATATTAATCAAGCCATAATATCATTAGCATTGCATTGGTAATATGTGTGTATTGTATACATATGTTTAAGTTACATTAATTTTTTGAGTTAATTTGATGTTGAATACTGTATTATTTATACTTTTATTAGAAAAAAATATTAATAAAATATTTGGGCAAAAAAGTAATTACACCGATAATAATTTTTCCATCTCTTTAATTTCACTTCCAATACCAAACAAGGGAAGGTAGATTCATTTTCTTTCTTCCCTATCATACCAAATAAGTCAAGGAAAAATCAAAATTTGTTCTATCATTCTAATTTTCTATGCATTATAGTTTTCCTTTCCCTTCTATTTTCTTTCCATCTTACCAAACAGAGTGTGTGTATGAGTTTACATTTTTACTCTTGCTCTTAATTAATACTTCTGGCTAATATAGTATTTGATTAAAAGGACATTAAATAAGAATAAAGTGTAAAAATCAAGATTTATACAATCTAAAGAGTATTTGTCTCATTTTTTTCCCTTCGATTATTACCTTCTTATAGTGCCGAAAATACCCTCCAAACTGCCGAAAACGATGGTAGCGCACCCTTAATTGTAACAATCCTCATCCTTCTCAACAGTGGCTTTCTCTCCTTGCAACACTGATGATGAGCAAGGAAGATACTTACCGTTATATATTCATGTTTGATAATTGTGAGTTATTGTGACCAAATCCATAGATGTACAAATTCCATATCACGTCACAAGTGGATTGTTTCTTAACTTCACCACTATTTTCACTAAGGACACCTTATTATAACATTATATTCGACATTGGTCTTGGCATACGAGGAAATTTTTCTCAAACCCGTCATTATTTTCTTAAGTCATTCTCCTACCTTGTATCCACTTCCTATCCATTATTAAGTCTAATCACTCCAAAAAAAAAAAAACAAAAGAAAAAAAAAACACAAAGGAAAGAAATCGATACATGTTATTTGAGTAATTATCAAAAAGTTAAATTCATCGTAAGAAATTTGATAGCAATATTGTTAACTTCTAATTCATAAGATAATTCACACGGAAACTTTAATATTGCCATCAATCTTTGTTAGCAATAAGCAATACCAACGACACAAATTTTTATCATGTTAAAAGAATCTAAACTAAAAGAATTCACAACAAAGGTCAATTAATTAACCAAAAAATTTGTATTGCCTAAGCAAAATGCACAACTACATATATTTAAGCCCAATAAAACAATATATTTGCAACTGAAATCTTTTTCAATACTAAATAATAGACTTAGGCAAAATTCACACTGACCATCCATTATTCCACACATAAATCCAAACGAAAACATATAAAAAATTATTGTTCAACCTATAAATCAAACTCAAATAATTTAACAAAAAATTATCAAATGCACAAAAGATTAACAACAGATCAATACCAAAACAAACCGTATTCAAATAACACTTAATTACCTACTAAATCCAAACTAAAAAAAATAAAAGATTAATAAAACCTTCTCATGCATAATTCCATAAATCTAGAGGCTAATTTTTTTTGGAAATCAAACTAAAAACTTGGAAAATGACTATCAAAACCAGTCAGCGACAATGGCAGGATTGTGAGTCTAACGAAGTTTAACTCCTTTAAAAAAAAACAAAAAACGAAGTTTAACTGATTATGCATCTGTTGGGTGGATTTCTCAATGTCAATCTCCTCTACTTGCATTGTCGTTCTTCGTCACTCTCAATTGCTACGCTTTTCAGGTGCGCTGGGGATTTTCGTGTAGATGACACTCTGACGATCAAATCAGAAAAACAATCATGCATGAGAGAAAATTGGCAGAGCATTAGCTGAACTGATCATAAAGGAATATCTTCCTATAGTGAACCGAGTGTTTGATTTATATGCTTCGGTCAAAGGAATTTCTCATATCCATTTCTGGTTTTCAGAAGGTCTTTTGTTGATATCAGATTTAGACATAGCAAAATATGTGTTTTTTTTTTTTTTTTTGGTTGTGGAAACGGGTCGATTAGTGATGTTCTTCTGTCAAATTTCATCGTTTAGGCCTTCAAATGGTTTTTTTTTTTAGTAATTTCCATTTTTATTATAAGTTGATTTAGGAGTTTCAGATTCCATTTCTGATGGCATTTTCTTAATCCTTGGGTCTGATAGTTCCAATTTAAGTTTCCTGTTTTTTTCTCTTTTTAAAAAATTTCGTATTTTTGTTGTTATTAATTATAGAATAGGTTAGTTTGTATTTCTATTTTACTTATAAATTAAGATGTCCACTTGTTATGAAAACCAGTTACGTTGAAAGAA